AATAAAAATGTTTCATTTCAGTGGTGTTACATTTTTTTCTCAAAATGAACGACTTAAAACCGCGGGAACTTTCAGGACGACCTAATACAACAACAGTGTATCATTATCAAAGGGACAAAAGAAAGTTTTGCTTTGAAAAGGTCTACTATCTATCGCAACACCGTCAACTCTGTCTCCAGGCTCGGAACAATCGATGGACGAACTCTCGCAAGACTCGATGATGTTGTCGATGCCGAACGAGGTTTAATCGCCGCTGCTGGATTAGCCATATTGTAAATATTCTCTTATTTAGCGTTAAAATTTTTTCCACGTCTATAAATCTTTCTCGGTGAACGCGTTCACATTCCCGTTCATTTCGTTTCTTCGATCGTGAATGTACGCTGTCGTTCGTAAGTATTAGGACACCTATTATGTTCGTACAGAAAGTATCGTACGATTGAAATTACATTTCTTCGTCGAATTAAAAATATACAGGGTGTTCGCGCTATTAGTTTTCAACATTTTTCCCGTAAGTAGGAGATTTGTGAGAAAGAATGGAGGAAGAAAATTTGATTATTTTTGATACGCGATACGATGACTTGAATAGATTGTTTTAAATTTGCAATGGTTTTCGCATACCTAGTCACCTTGATACTACAACTGAATTATATAGCCACCTTAATTCTCTAACTAAACATCTTAAACTCATTAGTAGAACAACCGAATTCATTACCAAGTTTTAGCGTTGAACATGAAATTGATTTCAAACTTATCCACTTTTATCTCCAAATACAGCTAGAGTTTCCTACTTTTATACTCTGTTCAAAATAAGAGTAACCTCGCTTCGCGCATGGGGCGTGCCTAAGGCAGGGCTAGAACCACTAGAACGTCCAAACCACCTACGTTTTTCTCCCTCTTACCCTCTGCTACGCTCTCTGTCTATGCGCAGAACGGGCGAGAATCGGTCCGAGAGCGAGGTTACTCTCATTTTGAACGACGTATAGTATACTACAGTTGTAAGGAAAATACAAGGGAAGAAGGTGCAACGAAAGAAAGCAAAATTTAACTATTTCGTTTTTCTTGGAACTTATGAATGGAGTTATGAATGGAGTATGAATTATCTAGTGGTAGTATTAAGGTGACGATATATCAGTAAAAATATACATGCTCCTTACGCTACGAGATTCCAAACTAAATAATTTTTTGTTGGGTGTCAACACTTTTTTAATGACTATTTAGCGTTAGTTTAGAATCGATAATTGTCCTAATACTTATGACCGGAAGTGCAGGTAGAATTCGTGTTATTCGTCGTCGCGATTCAAGCTTGGGCTGCATGAGCTTTCTCTCGACGTTCGCGAGATAACGCAAGAAAGAAATTGTAGAAATTGTGTAGAAAAGAAGAGGAGTGAAAGAAATTGTACGTAGAAAAGTATAAACGAAGAGGAGGTTTCCTTTTGTTTTGTCGAATTTTTCGAATTTCACAGACTCGTCTCGGCGGACGTCGAAAGAGAAAAATCTCGCGGTGAAACTCTGCGGTTTAAGTTCCAAAGTATTTTTTACTGTAACACGCGTTAGTCGACTACCATACTACTTCAGTACGTACTCTGCAATAAACGTATTTATTTGGTTAATTGACCCTTTGAAGCGAGCTTCAGCAGCACGGTTTATTTTACGCGAACGTACTTAATACTCAGAAACTTTAAATTGCGAAAGAAAAAATGTTTCGTGAACAGTTCTACTAAATATCAAACGTGTACTAAATATTTTAATGAAATCTAAACTTTACATGTCTTTTCTCTGAAGATAAGCGTAGATTCTATACCTAATATGAAAATGTGTGAAACATTAATTGACAGCAATTGACATTTTGACAACTATTTATACAAATCTCTAAGCAGAAATGAGTTACCACCAAATTTTGTATTAAATGTATCGTTTAAACGAGATAATCGAAAGTTGCAGCAGAAAAGGTAAAAATGAAATAAAATTAAACGACGATTGATTAATTGAAGAATAAATGCATTTAGATATCGTTTAAGCAATGTAAATAAATTTACAACGCTTCAGAGGGTTAATCCAAATAAACATTTCGATACTTCTAGATAGAATTCGAGTTAAACCGATGTTGCTAAAGCGTACCGAGTGTTTTATATGATTTAGAAAGAAATCCGCCCAGATCGTTGTTAACCTATTAAGATTACCAGCAAAACGTAGAGACGCCAATTTTTAAGACTGGATGGCAGCACAGCTCTCTCGCACTGGATGTTAAGCTTATTATAAATAAGTGAATACCTTTAACGTTTCATGATAGGTATACCATGAACAGATACGCG